TTTTAAGTAAGAGTTTTATACTTTAAACCTGCCCCTTTTTTCCCCTCTTCACCCGTTCACCAAAGACTGCGTAGCTGTGGTTGGAGATCAGCAACAACTCGAAGATCATGTAGGCCACCAGGGCCACACACGTATTTCCATTATTTGAAATTTGTTTAGACCCTTTTGTGCAATTTCTACTGATTCAGATGGCATAAGCATGAACATCTGAGCAGCAGGGATAGGAAAAAATCCCAAAGAATACAAGCAATTTGTATATAAATACATAAATAATTCATGTGTTAACATTAATAAAATCATTCCGGCTCTTAACCGTGCCAATTCCTGTTCTGCTTTTCTTCCCACCCTCGGTCCCACAGCTGCGCTTGCATCTAGCTACCCTCCCGCAAAGATCATTAGTTCCCTCAGTACTTGCAAGCACCATTATTTTGCTCTTTAATCAAACACGTTCCCAAAAGCCAAATGCAGATGAACCCGATGAAGAATTTTTAAATTGGAGCAATTAACTTGCTAAGCATTTCCGGAAAGTGTCAAATGTTACAGCACTCCCAGTTCACTGCACTTGTCACTTCCCAAGCGAGCCTGAGCTGCACATCCACTTTATGAGTGAAGGAGCTTACTGCACTTTAACAAATACCAAGGATTTTGCACCACAGCTGGTTTCAGACAACTCCTCTGATATCCCCATAGCGCAGAAATGTCACTGTAACCAGTAAAACCTGGGGATTTTCTTAGCAAGTGGCCCAGTTCACGCTTGGTCTGTATTACAAAGCCATGTCCAGCCAGGATGACAGAGACACATCCCTATCAAAAACACGCAGAGAAGCAAAACCCTTTATGTTCTTACCGCAAGTTATCCAAAACTGCTGTCGGTCTGTCGGAGAAGGAGGCAGCATGCCAGACCATTCTCTCCCTTGCAGGCCCTGCACAAACGCTTAGGCCAACAGAAACGGCGTGGTTCAGGCCCACTTTCATAGGTATAGCAGAGCTGGGTTTCTCCAAAGGATTTGTTAGCATAACACTCTTCATTTGACCTTCACACAGACGTAAGTTGCCCCTTGAATTCTTCAGAAGGATGGTTTCTCGGGATGCTTGCTTTCCCATCGGTGTGTCTATCCATAACAATGTGCTAAAGAGTTTATTTAAAAAAACAGCTTGAATATCAGATGCAGTAACCACTCAGAAGAAGAGGATGGTGGGATTACTTCCTTTTTCAGAAGGCAAACAGGACCACAGCACCAGGATAGGTAAATTCACCTGTTTGTGGTGGCAGAGGGGGAGACGAGTAAAAAATCCTGTGTCCTCACAAAAATCAGACGCTGCCATAGGGAGCCTAGTTCATCCCTGGGCTGATGAAGCTCCGACAGGCCGTCACTCCCCAGGGCTGGGAGGTGGCTCCAGGCGATAAAACTCCACCGCTTGGTGTCCTACAGGTGGGACTTGCTCAGGAGCAGTTTTCGGATTGTTGCGCTTTGTCCGCAAGCGGCGTTCCCGCACAGGTGCTGCGCCCGGCTGCGGAAGGGCTTCGTAGAGAAACGCCACCAACTCGTGAAGGCGTGGGCTTGTAGTATGGGGGGCTGGGGAAGAGGGAATGGAAAGCGGAGAACTAGAGAGTGGAAGGCAGCTAGGGGAAGACAGGAAAAAAAATTCACAGCAGAGACACCAGTTTTGGTAACGAGGGCTCGTGGCTGATGCGAGGAAGACGATGAGCTTAAGACTGATGTTGCAGGTGGTCAGACCCAGCAGCAGCGTCAGTCTGTGCACACAGCCCACCCTTGCAGGCCACCTTCCACCCCAAAGGGCAGAAACACAGTAGGAATTTTATAGAAAGAG